ACTTGCATTATCATTTCTCTTTTTTTTTTGTCTGAACCATTTGAGGTAAGTTGCAGATGTGATGCTTTTTACCGCTCAAGACTTCAGTGTGTATTTTCTAAAAACAAAGATATCCTCGTGCATAACCACCATACAGTAATCAAAATGAGGAAACGAACATTGGTACAGTACTATTATCTAATAACAGACCGTATCCCTGTTTTAACCAATCATATTATTATTGTCCTTTGTAGTAAAAGGGGAGAAAATGGTTTTCCTTCCTGATTCAGACTCCGGCCCAGATCACAGATTGCAGGTATTGCAAGTATTAGTTACTTGTACACCTAAGGAACTGAATGATTTCATGTGCTACATGGGATTACCAGACATGAATAGATTAGGTTTGCATAATTTCAGCTGAATCCTGGTGAAAATAATACCTCACTGTAAGTAGCTGGATAACAAGTGTCCTCTCTGTATTTGTAACAATAAGATTATTTCAAAAACACATAGAAAACTTATTTTTCTATTCTTTATGACCAGGGGATTTGTATCTGGTTTAAGAGCGCTTTCCCATTGAGATTCAAGTTCAAAAGGGAGGGGGACTCAAAGTACAGCCCTAATTTAAGAGGTTGAAGATTATCTGATATTACAGAGATTGTGTCTGCCAGGTTTGGCTCACTTAATAATAATGAAAGATGGCATCTTCGTGTTCACAATAACCAAGTGTGTATAGAGAACTCAGATAACTTAGTCTATAACTTGTTCTTGTCTAAAGAGTCAAAGCTCAAATAACTCCCTGATAGCTACAGGTAACATACATTGCTTTTAGCAGAGTTCTCCACAGATCATGGATAATAACTAATGTCATAATTATACCGGAAATCTTCTTTAAAACAGGGGCCTCGTAAATCTGCATCTGTAGTTTGAAATAAAGACACTAGCATACAGTTTTAGTGAATTAGTCCTGAAAACTGGTGGTCTCTTGTGAGAATAAAAAGTATACAGTTCTGAAAATGTGGTATAGTTTCTTCCAGACAGTGGACAAGTATCAGAGCCCTGTAAGTTCAGAGCAGGCTTTAAGCCCTTATATGGCCAAAGAACTTCATCTAGTATCTTTAAAATGTTTTCTAACAAATAAAATATATATTACTCATGAGCCCAGCACTTTTAAAAAATATATAAAGTAATAAACAGATAGTTTTCTTATCCCTACTCTCTCAATAGCCCCCTCCAAAAAAGCCTGTACTTCCCTCCAAAGATAATAGATCTACCCTCTTATATCTAGATACATGTACAATACTTACATGCATATGTTCATGTATACATATTTTATATTTTTCAGAAATGGAAACGATATAAATACTATTCTTGTTTTTGTTTCTGTCATTTAATAATTATTGACATCTTTTTAAGGTCAGTTCATGTAGCTCTACCTCATTCTTTTTAATGGCTGCTAAGTACAATAGTCCATTAGATGAATGTACCATCATTTAAGCATTTTTTTATTGATGTATATTAAAGTTATTTCTAGCTTTTCCATATTTTAATTAATAATGCTGCCATGAACATTCTGAAAAACATCTTTACTTAGGCTTTTGCTTCTACAGGGTGTAGTATGTATATTTTTCTTTTCTTTTCTTTTTTTTTTTTTTTTAAGCTGAGCCATCCTGCTACCTGTTGGCAGCTCAGCAGCTGCTCAGCCCGGGCCGGGACTCGAACCGCTGTTGCTCAGAGCTCAAACCCTTGAGTGAGCTCTTAACCAACTGAGCCACTCGGCCGGCCCTTATAGTATGTATATTTTTAATGGTTACTGTTAAATTTACTCTCCAAAAAAATTGTACCATAGATATCCCTGTGATATGAATGGAATTACCCATTTTGTCATTCCTTCTCCAGGATCACTCTACGCTTTTTAACTTTTTTAATAAAAAGGACTATATTAAGAGGTATGGCTCAAGAATGTTTGGGATATTTATCGTATGACTGCGAAGACAAAGGAAGTTGAGAATAAACCCTTTATATAAAACATTGCATGGGTAATTAACCATATCCCCCAGTCTACTTTCATTATTAATTTTAACAGCCAGCCCCATGTTCTCCTCCAAGGATTTAGTATTAAAGGGTTTGGGTTTTTACTTACTTTTTTTGTGTAGCAATAAGATTTATGTATAATTAGACACTGTCTTCTTCCATATGATGTCTCAGAAACCTGGCCAAGGTCTTTTTGTTTCCTTATTTTCCTCATCAAGAATGAGGAAGGTGAGGCCCACTTTGCTTACGCCTGAGCAGCTTAAAGCTAGGTCAGTTTTTCAACAATCTGTTGAGATGGTGGTAGACTTTTATTGAAGCAATCAAGCAGGACTCTTTGATAATAGCAAACCCTTCATTGCATCTCAGTTTCTTATCTCTTTGATACTAACCGTTCTGATTATGGACACAGGTGTCCTCAGAAGAAATGATGTAAAAGGTTAAAGTGTGGAGAAAGGGACCACTGTAAACCACACAGTCTAAGATACCTAGCCTGAAGATGATGAAAAGCAGAAAGGTGCTAAATACAATGTAGTTTATTATCCTGTTCTATTATGTAGACATACCAATACCATTTCCCCTTGATTTATCCTACAAATGCATGTTTATAAGTATAGTGATTTTTTTTTTTAATTTAAGTTAATGTTACTGCCTTTGGAAGAATAACTACTCATTGTGAGCCCCCCCCTCTACCCCCCGAAAAAAAATTTTCAGTGGCCAAAATCCTGGCATCTTATCCCACCAAGTCTTATATTTGGGTTTTTCCAGATAATTATCTTCATTGTCAACTACATAGAATAAATAGAAGTCAAAGGTTACTAAATAATAGCAGATATTTAGACAGACTACTTGTGGAGTGGTAGAAGGGATTTAAGCCCTGAAGCTTAACACATCTATCTTACTAGTGAGCCAGATTAAGACTGGAAAGACCAAGCTCTTATTACTTGAATAAAGGAGTACAGTGACTAGTCAACATCTTCTCTTTCTATTTTTAATGTACCCTAATGTCAGAAGCCAGGTGAAAAGCTGGATCATTGCAATCTTGACATATAGAACCCCAGTCAGTGCATTCTAAGAATAGAATTATGATTATTGGGATGTGTGCTTCACAGAGTCTCCTGTCTGCATTTGACCTCCAGTCTGATGTTTCATGTTTATCTATTGTGCGTTCCTTTGTGGAGAACTTTTCTGTGGAAAGGATACTGAAGTCTAACTAGGATTGTTGTTACCTATAAAGTTTCTTACTTGTGCCCCTCCCCCCCATGTATAATATGTTTATACAAATTGCTCAGGGATTCATGATGATTTGGTATATCAGCAATACAAGAATGTTTTGTGGCATTAGGTAAACTTATTGTTTTAGGAATTGAGGTACCTAGATTGGGGGTATGTATATATATTTATTTGGGAGTGGAATTGGTAATCAGTATTGAAGAAGATAGATTTATTTTATAAGGCAGCGGTTCTCAACCTTCCTAATGCCGCGACCCCTTAATACAGTTCCTCATGTTGTGGTGACCCCCAACCATCAAATTATTTTCATTGCTACTCTGTAACTGTAATTTTGCTAGTGTTATGAATTGTAATGTAAATATCTTTTTGTTTTCCGATGGTCTTAGGTGACCCCTGTGAAAGGGTCGTTTGACCCCCAAAGGGGTCGTGACCCACAGGTTGAGAACTGCTGCTATAAGGAGAGCCATGAGAGTGGTAGCAAGGCCACCTCAAAGGAACAAGAAAGGCATCCAACCTTTATCTGTGGACAGATGTACAAAATGTGGTATATACATATGATGGAATATTATTCAGCATTAAAAAGGAAGGGAATTTTGACATGATACAACATGGATGAACCTTGAAGACATTAAGCTACGTGAAACAAGCCAGTCACAAAGGGCCAAATACCATATGATTTCATTCATGAAGTACCTAGAGCAGTCAAATTCATGGAGAAAGAGAGTAGAGTGGTGGTTGCCAGGAATTAGAAAAAGGGTAATGAGGGTTATTTGTTTAATGGGTACAGGGTACAGAGTTTCAGTTTGGGAAGGTGAAAAAATACTGGAGAGGATGATGGTGATGGTTGCACAACAGTGTGAATATGCTTAATACCATTGAACTGTACACTTAGAAATGGTTAAAATGGTAAATGTTGTTATATATATTTTACCTAAATAAAAGAGTTTTAAAAAGCTGCAAGTATTTACTAAATGCACATAACTTTCTGCCTGGTGTAATTTTTAACTCAATTTATTTCAAGTTCTAAAATGTGACTAAATAATAAAATTTTGTTCTTTTAAACTAACTCAGAAGCTTTTATTTGAATCTGAATCTTTTAAAGTACATACTATATTGTATATTTTGCCACTTGCAGAAGGACTTAGCTTATTATTCAGATCAAAATGACATTTAAGGGTACTCATAAGTAAGGAGGGCTTTAAGCAGAAGTGACTGATGCACTTTATTCCCAGGATGCTCTACACTATATTGGCTTATAGTGTAGAGAGTTATCACACTTAAAGCAAATAAATTATTTCAAATAACAGTGCTTTAAAATAAATATTTAACCTCTGTAAGACAGAAAAATTATAGGCAGTGTTTTCTGACATTGATGTGTTAAATGAGTTTTATAATTTCCTAAATTAGAGTTAAATATATATAGACTTAACATTTTATAGTTGCTGTTTTTTAGGTGTTACAACATTATTTTATCTTTTTTTCTTCATAAGTGTAAAATTCTTTATAAAGATATTCCTCTCCCAGCCTATTTCTTTTGATAACCAGAAGTGTGAAAATTGTTTTTTTACTTTAAAAAAAATTGAATCAGTTAGAAATGTTTTATCATCTCTTGATGTAAGTAATTGAACTTGTATGGTACTTATACTTACATTATCAAGTAAAATATTACTTTCTACCTCTATGGTTTATATGGGCAGTATTATCTTTATAAATTGCTCTACTTTATCATATAATAGTTTGTCTCTGTCTCTTTTTAGGATATTTTCTTTTCTGGATGTTGTTACCTTGTGTCGCTGTGCTCAGGTCTCCAGGGTAAGAATGGCTGACATGATTAGAGGGACTCCCCTTCTTAACACTGATGATCTTAGCTTCTGTAGTAGGTGAACCATTTACTCGAGATGTTAGTTGTACATGATGTTTCAAAGGATGTTGTTTCACCCATGGCGAAATTCTATAGTTCTATATGTACTGTTTCTAATTTTTTGGAACTCTTGAGTATTTGTACAATACAAACGGGAAACATTTTGAAGGAAAAGCATTAAACATGCAAATTAAAAGGTTAGGCTCTACTCAGAATTGTGATAAAATAGTGTTTCATTATGTTTTCCTAGTTCATTTTATGCATACAGACAGACAGCTCTTGAGGGTCTCTCATGTTACCTCCCCATAGTCTTTCTTCAGAAAACAGTAGCTAGAATTGAATTTTTTAAAATTGTAGAGCAAACCAGATTCCATTCTCATTTTCTACATTATACTTAATGATCCATTTTTGTCAGTTGACATTGTTGTGACAAAACAGTCAAACATCATAATCTTATTGACTCAATATAAAGAATAGTATCTTTGTTGTGGGAAAATTGCTTTATGAACCATTCTTTTATAATACAGATATATTTTTAATAATTAACTTAATAAAATGTATGAGTACCTACAATTATCTTTTTATAAACAGGACAGTGGCTTTTTGCTTGTTCATTTAACAACTGTTTATTGAGAACCTACTATGTACTAGGTACAATTCTAGGTGCTAGATGTGTAATATGGTTGTATCGTAGAGTATTGTGTTTATCTTTGTAGGTGGTCCCAGTTTTCCTTCAAGTTACCAACGACCATTTTGAAAACAAAAAAGACAACAAAACCCCAGAAAACTTGCCAGAGAAAAATTCACTGTGTCTTGCTAACTTTCATGTAATTTCTGTACCCTAAAAGCCATACTAAATCTGTGCATCAGCTATTGTGGAAACAATCTGTAGTATTTTGATGATTTCTATTTATCACATTTCTGTCCTTGGCACTTGAGTGGTTGCTGTAGCCATGGCTGGTACAGATGAGTGGAGTTTCCTTTCTGTCGCCATATGAAACTTAGGTCATCATTGAGAAAAATGCCCAGACCAGTGTCTAAACCTGTTTAGTTGCAGAGCCTCATCTTAGGAATGTTGATTTGAGTGAGTTTTAATTGTTGTTTTCATTTGCAGGTTTCTCTTCCCTCTTAATAGGTTTTAATTTAAAAGAAAGGACAGCACAATGCCAATTTTTATTAAATCTGGATAGTAAATCAGTAATTAAACTTACTGTTCTCTGTACCTGAAGTATTTAATTAATTTGTTAAAAAAAAAAAGACAGACTCTGGAGGAACCTGTCATTCCTAATTTTAGTCTCAGTTTGGCGTGTTTCCTGCTTGCTTGAAAAAGTAGTATAAGGAAATGAGAAATAATCAAACCAAATCAGAGGTATATTTAGCCTGAGAATCTAGTAAACATATGAACTTTAAAAGTTTTATCTGTTGTCTCCCATGGCTAGCCATTTAAGAAACCATTGGAAAAATATGAAGCTACCTAAAGAAAAGTAGCATTGAACTCCTAAGAAAAACCTTAAAGGTTTTTAGAATAATAACTTTGTTTACTTTCATATTTCTGACATTTCTTGCTGAGTGTGTGAGTTACCCTGGGGCCAATAAGTATATCCACAATTTCCTTTGTAAAATTTCAGTATCAAACCTGTGTTTTGATTGTTACAATAAGAGATAATATTTGAAGTTTATAACTCAACAATATTAAGACTTTAAAGACTTTACACTTTAAATTTAATAGGGAAAACTTTAAAAGTTTTTCTGATTAAACTACAGAATGACCCACAACAATGAACTTTTTTTTTTTTTTCTTTTTTTTTTTTCTGAGCCAACCTGCCACCTTTTGGCAGCTCAGCTCAGGCCATGAATCAAACCGGGGACCCTGTTGCTCAGAGCTCGAACTCTTGAGTGAGCTCTTAACCAACTGAGCCACTCGGCCGGCTCCTCTTTTTTTTAAGTTTTTATTGGGGATTTGAGGGAGGGAACAGCGTTGGGGAATCGGGGAAGGGGAACAGACAAGTTGCTGTCGTTTTGTTCTTCAGTCTAGTTGTGGAGGATGTTGCTTCACTGGCCTATGTTAGTATTATCATTGTGCTCTTCCCAGGTGAGGCAGTTGCTCGCTGGTCATTGGACGGCCACTCACGGCAGCTCTCGGGGCTGCCAGCTGCTCACGCTGGCTGCCAGACACTCACGGTAGCTCACGGCAGCCCAACTCCAGGTCGAGCTGTTGTTCACCATCTTAGCTGTAGAGGGCAGTGTCACTGTCCCATGTGGGATCCGAACCGGCGGCCCTGCTGCTCAGAGCTCGCGCTCCCAAGCCAACTTTTAACCAATGAGCCATTCGGCCAGCCCCAATGAACTCTTACTGGAGTCAGTTTTTACCTAATCTTGAAAAGCTGAAAAGCGTAGAAACTTTCTTGCCTCCCTTTAGCTTACTGAAGAAATGTATGAGAAGTCTTTAATTTACACTGTTGTAAAATCACCACTGAATAAAGTTAGAGGGAAAGATGAACAACTGAAAAACATCCCTGAGTGAGAAAATTGGTAATGAGGAAAGCATTAAGGCTCATCATGTATATGGAGAAGTGACATTGTTTTCTAAGTCCCACGTTACCATATCGCAGTGTCAAGTCTTACCAAGTGATGCTATGGATAGCAAATATATATATATTGAACATAGCAATACTCAGTGTATTGTCCTCTTTTCTTTGGTTTCACCCTCATCTTGATTCTAGTTTAGAGATAGAGTAACAGACTTGCTTTTCATCAGCTGAATTGTCTCATTTTGGGATTACAAACTAGAAACTTCCAGTTAGAAAACAGTTTCTGGCTGTGATGCTTATCACAACCTGTCCTTTCCCCAAAACCTACGTTAAGATGTTTTATAGCTGCTAGTGTCTGTACCCACTCATTTCTGAGATAATCTAATTGGAGAATGAAGTTTGAATAAGAAATAAGGCAGACTTTTGGGGAGTTAATGGTGGGGGTGCTGAGAAATATTGTGGTCGATTTCAATCATTAGTAGATTGAATTGTGAACTCGAATGTTGCTGGCTTTTCCCCTTCATTTCAGCTCCTGCTCATTTTGTCTCTTTTTCTTTAAAAATAGGCCTGGAATGTTCTGGCTCTGGATGGCAGTAACTGGCAACGAATTGACCTATTTGATTTCCAGAGGGATATTGAGGTATAATTATGTGGTGTGTGGCCCCATTTCTCTTGTTAGAATGTAATTACAGCATGGAACAGATTAGCCCCAACCATATGCATCTCCTTCACCTAGAGAGAGAATCTATTAATTTTAGTGCATATGAACTTCATAGGAGCCTGCAGTGTTCCCAAGAGCTTATTCAGTTTTTGAGAATGAGCAGAATTATTTTAGTGAAATAATACTAAATTATTTTATTACTAAAACTAAAAGATTTTTTTTAGTTTTGTGGTGGAAATGTGAAACTACGTTTGCTTATTTTGAGGAAGTCTTTTATATTTACTTATTGAAGAATACGTTAAGTTAACTGTTGGGGTATGATATTTGCATAAATTCTTCTTAAGGTGAGCATTTTGTTTGGTTCTCAGGAAGCCTACAGATAGTTTTTGTGGAAAACGAAAAAAGAATAAAGTCACAGTCATTTATTGAATTATTTTTGCTGGTGAGAGATTTTTTTTCTCCTTCTCATTTCTCTCCCATATTTTATCTCTTAGTATTGCTATTATTTCTAAAATGGAGAAACATAATGGCTTATGCTTTAATTATTTTAACCAGAATTTGAGCTCTGTGGTCCTTGGTTTTCTCATCAGGACAGTGGAAATAATAGATTCCTCATTGTGTTATAAGAATTAAATGAGATTTACATATAGATTTTTTTTAAAAATTTAATTCCTATGGGACTTAATTGTCTTGAGGATCCCTGTAAGTTTTTTAATAGCCTCACATGAACTTTCCATTATCTTCTAAATGTACTTTAAAAATAATACCAACTGACATTAAGCTGGATTTTTTTTTTAAAGATTTTATTGGGGAAGTGGGGGAGGGGAACAGCGTTGAGGAATCGGGGAAGGGAAACAGACAAGTACCTCTTTCTCAAACATAGAATATCTTAAGAATTGAACAAAATAAATATATAGGGTTTAGGCGTGTTTCAAGTAGATGAGTTAATCAGGAAAGCTTTCTCACAGTAAGATGAAATTTTCCTATTGCATTAACTAAGTCTTTAAAATGAGTAGAAGCTTTTTTTTTTAAAGAAGTGATCTCTGATCATCTTTTTTTTTTTTTTTAAAGATTTTTATTAGGGAATTGGAAACAGTGCTGGGGAATTGGGGGAAGGGGAACAGACAAGTTGCTGTCGTTTTGTTCTTCAATCTAGTTGTGGAGGAT